CGCAGGGTTCAGTCCTTGGACTTATACTAGTCCTAGAAATAAGAGGCATGAGTTACGAGGAAAGGCTGCGTGAAATGCACCTCACGATACTGGAAGACAGAAGAATAAGGGGAGACATGATCACTACCTACAAAATTGACAGGGTAGATAAGTATAATTTGTTTAACACGGATGGTATGCGAACAAGGGGACACAGGTGGAGACTGAGTACCCAAATGAGCCACAAGGACGTTAGAAATAATTTTTTCAGTGTCAGAGTAGTTAACAGATGGAATGCATTAGGCAATGATGTGGTGGAGGCTGACTCCATACACAGTTTCAAATGTAGATATGATAGAGGCCAGTAGGCTCAGGAATCTATACACCAGTTGATTGACAGTTGAGAGGCGGGACCAGAGAGCCAGAGCTCAACTCCCGCAAGCATAGCTTGGTGAGTACACACACACAAGTAACGGCCAGGGTATTACTCAGACAAGTTACATATGGGATAAAACTCACAAGGAAATGAACAGATAGAAAGACCTTGATGACTGGCTGAACTTGTTTCTCGAAGCCCACATCAAGCGGATGTCATCAGTGGCGTACGCAAACTTATCAAATAATGACCGCCCTTAGAAGGTGATACGGTGCAGTATTATACGTAATCATTTTTTTTTAATTTACATATTTACACTGAATATTTGTAATTTGTGTCTACAAAATCCAGTGTAAAGGTTGCCTTATATTATCTGTTGAACAAATTGTAAACAATTAGTCATGATGAAAATCCATAGGAGCGGTGATGAGGGTTCGAACCCATGCGGTGGGTGTTCCCTGGCACACGCCCCAGTCAACCAGGCCACCTCAATTAGACACGGTGCCTAATCTGGTCAAATTTTGTATGTATATATTTTCAATTTTACTCCGTTTTCTTATATTGCATTTCTTGAGAATATACTAAAAATATGTCAGCGCTCGGATATATTAGTTCTCTTTCCTTATAGTTATTTACACACAACTGAATCATAAGTTTTGTTGCTTTTTGCATATGTAAAACGTAATCAAATATTTTCCTGCGAGCGAGAGATATCCAGAAACATGTTCCTTCAGCCGCTCGAACCTCTGACCAGAGGAGAAGGAAAATATCGACAAAAGTTAGAGTTGGTTAGTGAAAGTGAGAGGAGGGTGTGAGGGCGCAGGTCTCTAATGACTATGCAAGTTCCTCCTTTCTCTTGCTTGTGCACGACTGCAGGAGGCGCTTGTCTGCGCTTCTGGACTAAATCATAACCAGTCAGGAGGCGATAATCTGGACACTTGTAGTATTAGAATCCAATTTCAAGGACAGATTCTGTTTGATATTAAATATAAATTTTTGCCTTATTGCTCCCAGATTATTATGGAGATGTGGGTTGCCCCCCTGCTGCCCTGCTCTCCACCACCACCACGTGTAAACGCCCACATAAATCACCCCATACAAGCTATTTAACTTAAGCCTAACTTTAAATAAATCTGATTTGCGTTCCGTTCTTTATTGTAGAGTATTAAACCTACACCTTGTGTAGCACAGGACACCTTCACTCAACACCTTGTGTTGCACAGGACACCTTCAATCAACACCTTGTGTTGCACAGGACACCTTCACTCAACACCTTGTGTTGCACAGGACACCTTCACTCAACACCTTGTGTAGCTCAGGACACCTTCACTCAACACCTTGTGTAGCTCAGGACACCTTCACTCAACACCTTGTGTAGCACAGGACACCTTCACTCAACACCTTGTGTAGCACAGGACACCTTCACTCAACACCTTGTGTAGCACAGGACACCTTCACTCAACACCTTGTGTAGCTCATGACACCTTAACTCAACACCTTGTGTTGCTCAGGAAATGCAAAATGCATCATTTACTCCCACACCCCGGGTGGGAATAACAATGTTTACATGATAGTTTGGTAACTATCGAAATTCTTCGGAGGGTCTTACCACACGACGACACTCATGGGTGGCTATATTGCATTTCTCATATATTATAACTATCTGCATATACTCGCACCTAGTACCAAATAGGTAGGAGGCGGAAGCCAAGAGCTACATCTGGTCTCTCCCCAGTAGGCACAGCAAGGTAAGCAAACACCCACACATTATAACGCCAATCCAAGGCTAACAACTTTTCCCTTTCACGATATCAAGAGAATCGCTGCTCGACACCATAAGTGGTTTTGCCTCATCCTTTTTTGTTGCGGGTTGTTAAAGAGGATGTCTTCCGCTGCGCTATTGTCTCGCCTCCTGGTCTTCACAGGTACAGATGAAGGTGAAAGTCGCCGTTCACTTATGTTGCGTCACTCGTGCGTTCACTAGATCATCCTGTGACCGGGACCCCTGGCTACGGAAGTTGTGTTGGCCCGGCACCTGCCCCCACCACCTCTGCTCTCACGCCTTATCTCCTTCCAGAAGGTGTATTTCTTTTCCTCGGGATGCGTCGCCCACACTCAAGAAGGGACAAACGTTGAAGCCTCAGCTGTCAAGAAGATACGAGATGAACCTTAGGGCTCTATAGGGCCAGATTCACGAAAGCACTTACGCAAACACCTACGAACCTGTACATCTTTTCTCAATCTTTGGAGGCTTTGTTTCCAATTATTAAACAGTTAATGAGCTCCGAAGCACCAGGAGGCTGTTTAGAACAATAACAACAGTTGAATGGGAAGTTTTCATGCTTGTAAACTGTTTCCTTTCTTAACATTCTGGCTCCTTCTATCCATTTCAAAGTGGAATGAGAATCAAATTCCCTCCTTCCTTTCCTTGACGTTCACAGCTCTGTGTCCGGGTTCTCTTTCTCTGTCTACCACAAACCCCATGCACAGTGGCTTGTACATTCACTTCTTTTCCTACCATCCTCCTTCTGTTAAGAAAAGTGTCCTCGTCTCTCTCTTCCTCCGCTCTCTACGCATCAGCAACGCTCAGTTTCTTATTTCTGAAATTATCTTTATCTACAAATCATTCTCTCGCCTTGGTTATCATTTACATTTTATCAACGGTGCCTATTTTCAAGCTAAACGAAATTTATTTTATCCTAAACCTGCTTCCACCCCTTTTAGCACCGTGCTCTGTCTTCCCTTCACATTTGAACTCAAAACTTTTACTAATACCTTTCGTCCTCTTGACATACAACTCGCCTTTCGACAAACTAACACTTCGTAGCAATCTAGTTCACAATACTCCTCCTGCTTTTAATGCTCCTTGTATCTACTCTATTTCTTGTTCGTCTCGTCCTCTCCAATTCTTTGACGAAACTGGCCGTACACTTAATGACAGACTTAAGGAACACTAAAGAAGTGTTAAGTCTGCAGACACAAACAATGTTCTCTTCTGTCATGTTAGGGATTATAATCATCCTGTTGATTGGTCTTCTTCTAAAATAATCTTTCCTGCCTCTATTCTTCACAAACGCCGTCTTGTCGAATCAGCTCTGATACACAACATACCCAACATGAACCTGAGTCCTGGCTTTGTTGCTGTTGACTCTTTCCTTTCACAGTATATACTCAAATGTTCTAAACTTTCTAACAGACGTGACCTAACTTCTACCTTTTTTTTTTCTCGATCTTTTTCTTTCTCTTGTTTCTCGTACGTTCCCATTTTTACTCCTATTATTACTCCCTATATTACACCTTACTTTCCGAACCTTTTGCCTTGTTCTTATCTTTCTCTAAGATTTCCCTCTCCTCACCTCTCTTTCTTGCCTTACTTAATGCCCTTGCCTCCCTCATCTCATCACGGGCTCACCATAGCCCGTGCTACATGGACACTTCGTCCTGAGTAGCTAAATCTTTAACAACAATAACCTCCTCTCATCACACACGGGAGACATCTCCCGTCACGCAGGGTGCAGTCGCACCTCCACAGATGACTCCAGTATCAGCTCTTGATACTGGCAATGGCTCAAAAGGGCCACCACTTACGGGCTATTCATGCCCGTGCCACCTTTTGGGTGGCTTAATCTTCATCAATCTCGTCTCATTACAATCGACTTGATAATGGTCCATGAGCGACCGAAACGTCGTCATCTCTTCAGTTTCTAGTGTGTGGTTTGGTCAATACTTTAGTAGTACAACAAATGAGGAAACCAGTAGGACAGTATGAACCGTGATTTTTGAGAAGAGAAGGGGAAACACTGCTTCTCTTCTAGAAGAGAAGTGTTTTGTAGGGAAGCATTGGAGGTTGTGCTAGAGTAGAATTCCTGACCATTGTACCTGGTGTCCCCTGCCAAGGTGACCATTGCACCTGGTGGCCCCTGCCAAGGTAGATTATACGAGAGTATTGTGAGTGGCGGGAACGAAAACACGTGGACCGGCTCTCTTGGTGGAACTGGTCTTTCACGGGTGGGCTCCTCCTCTACTGTTGACCTTGGCTCTTGTTAGTGGAACTGGCTCCTTTACCGATGAGCAGTTCTAGGAGAGACAAGGTCGCTTCTCGCCAAACTGTGAGATATCACTAAAATATAGAACAAAACTCGTCCCTGTTCATCACTGGAGGCACTGTCAATAAAGAGGCAGGGTCGACCCTAACCATCACAGCGGCACTACCAATAAAGCAGGTACGGGTCGTCTCTCGTCATTGTTGAAGACATCCACCACTGATGAGGCGGAGAGTTGTCTTCCATTAATACATTGTCCTTTACCGATGAGCCTGACTCTGTTAGTGGTACTAGTTCCTGTACAGGTGCAACTGTACCAAGAAGAATGTGCTATTTCCAGATATTCAGAACTGTCCTTAAACAAAAACTGACCTCAAGCAGACTTGATTTAGGTTGCACTGCGATTACGCCGGATAGATTAACCTAACAGTGCTGACCTCAGACCGGTTGATCAAACGTGGATGGAGGTGGTGTGACAGGGTGGGACTAGCGAGCAAGTGGGCTGGCCGGCCACGCGGGTCGACTACCCGCTGGACTGCTCACAAGTGAGAGTGGGTATAAAAAGCGGCGTATGCGTCGCCTGGCTCACTCAGTGGTGCGCTCTTGTCAGGTTCAGTTGTCTAGCTGCGTCTTCTGCTGTTGCTGCTGCTTATCTTCTAGGGACGTGTCGACGCTCGTGTGTGTGTGTGTGTCCGGGCGCCCTGCCACAGTACTCACCACCATGCTGATGGTTAGTCACTATGCCTACCGTCTACCTCCTCCTGGACACAACTCGAACATTCATCAACACATGGGCGTGCCACAATAAGTAGTGTGACTAGTGCAACAAGAAGACTGTTCCAACTTTCACTGTGGCCAATAATGGCAATACCCGGACGCTCGCAACACCTTCAGCACATCTCAAACTCTTGCGGCGTCAGGTGCTAGTGAGCAGCGGCCTTTAACACCGTCCGTGGTGGTGGTGTTTGTAATGTATTAATGGAAGACAACTCTCCGCTTCTTCAGTGGTGGATGTCTTCAACAATGACGAGAGACGACCCGTACCTGCTTTATTGGTAGTGCCGCTGTGATGGTTAGGGTCGACCCTGCCTCTTTATTGACAGTGCCTCCAGTGATGACCAGGGATGAGTTTTTTCTGTATTTTAGTGATATCTCACAGTTTGGCGAGAAGCGACCTTGTCTCTCCTAGAACTGCTAAGATGTCAGCGTCCCTCGGAGTGATGAATAAGGACACCCCCCCCCCCCCTAGCAGCACCCGCGGCCCATCATCAACATGATAACATTCACACCCTACGCTTGACAAACACGTCTTCTTTGTCTTTGCTTACCTGTAAGGGTGACCCCGGAAGTTCAAGGGTGACCCTAGAAGTTTAAGGGTGACCCTAGAAGTTCAAGCGTGACCCTAGAAGTTCAAAGGTGACCCTAGAAGTTCAAGGGCGACCCTAGAAGTTTAAGGGTGACCCTAGAAGTTCAAGCGTGACCCCGGAGGCTGCAAGGGTAACCCCGGAAGCTGCAAGGATGACCCTAGAAGTTCAAGGGTGACCCTAGAAGTTCAAAGGTGACCCTAGAAGTTCAAGGGTGACCCTAGAAGTTCAAAGGTGACCCTAGAAGTTCAAGGGCGACCCTGGAAGTTCAAGGGTGACCCTAGAAGTTCAAGGGTGACCCCGAAAGCTGTAAGGGTGACCCTGGAAGCTGCAAGGGTAACCCCGGAAGCTGCAAGGATGACCCTAGAAGTTCAAGGGTGATACCGGAAGCTGCAAGGGTGACCCTACAAGTTCAAGGGTGATCCAGGAAGCTGCAAGGGTGACCCCTAGAAGTTCAAGGGTGACCCTAGAAGTTCAAGGGTGACCCCGGAAGCTGTAAGGGTGACCCCGGAAGCTGTAAGGGTGACCCCGGAAGCTGTAAGGGTGACCTTAGAAGCTGCAAGGGTGACCTAGAAGTTCAAGGGTGACCCTAGAAGTTCAAGGGTGACCCAGAAAGCTGATTTAAATGCTTCTGGTATCTCCCCTGTGTCCAAGCTCTTCCTCCACACTATACTGAGTGCTTGTGCTACCGGCACTTTTAATTTCTTTGTAAATATTGAATTCCACGAATCTGGACCCAGGGCTTGTTGTCAATTTCTCTTTCAACATTTGCAGAACTTGTGTTTATGTTAAATTTTCAGGTGTTAGGATATCATGCATAAAGATGTCCGGATCTTCCAGTTTCATTCTGTTTATTGGAGGGTGCCAAACACGTCCTTATTCTGCTTTGTTTACGATTTCGCAAATTTTCTTGTCTTCCTCTTTGTATGAATCTTCACTTGTAAGTATTGGTCCAATATTGACAGGTTTTTTATTTTGATTTCGCATATGTGTAGAAATATTTTTTAATTTTATTTATCTCTTGTAAGGCTTTCTGTTCTAGTTTTATTTCTTCAATCTGATATGATTGCTTCAGTCTCTGTTTTATTTCTACAATCTCTTTGTTTAAATTAGTCTTTCTTTCTTTGTAGGGATGGTCGTGTCTGCTTAAGCATTTCCGTATAGACAGACATCATTGTAGGCGAAAATAGCTCTTTGTCAAATAATGATAATTAGTTCAGCGGAACATCTGTTACTGTGTAAAGTTATGTAACCGTCGGGTATTTTTCTGAGCGGTTAATCATTCTCAGAATATCAAATATCAAAATTAAGTATATTATGAATTAATAAATCCGGTAATAATTATAATGATAACAAATATGTAATCTACTTGTAGTTATCTCAACTTTGAGCCGTGGTATATATGGGATGGAACTTAAGCAATGTGTTAGTGACTGTATATGTGGCTATTCAACTCTGGAGACGTGAATGAAGAAATACGTTTGGCAAGTGTCGACAAATATGGTTCCTTTAGATGACACAACAACTTGTGTTGTAGAAGTTGACGCGACGAGACGACCACACCCACCTGGTACCTGGGTGTTGTGGCTGCGTAACCACACTTACTGCTTATTCACACTAATCACACTTACTGCTTCTTATGGACAAATTCGGCCACTGAAATCTGGTCAACATGTCCATTTATACTAACCCTTTGTTTCCTTTGATATAACTATGCCCTTATCCGACCTAAGATAGCATCCCAGTACCGTGTGCCTTTATCTTTCTAATCAATATTTCGTGAGACACAGTATTAAAAGATTTGGTAAAGTACACAACGCCACAAACCTTTCCACCATCAACTGCCTCAGATATGCTGGATCCGAATGAAAACACATTTTCAAACATGAGCCGCCCTTAGTCTGCCCGTCCTCATAAGGTTCCCAACGTCAAGAAAATAGTCAAATTAAAGTGTCCTCTCCTAACCTATCAGAGGACCCAAAACAGAAAACGGGACAGTACGTTACTTTCGCGAGCCGCTTCCATTTTCCAGTACGACAATTTTTGGCCTTATGTAACACATACGATCGAAATGCGACGTTCTTTGTAAGAAGACAGGTTGCCTTAGTAATGCAGTGTTTTAAATAATTTATTAATCTAATAGATGGGATACCCGGCAGTGCCCGGCTCTCTTTCAGTTTGTCTCTTTGTGTGGTAGGAAATGTAGATGTTTATCTCTCAGAATGTTTGGTAATATGTTTATTGTTTGTGATGTGTGTATATGTATGTATTAACACGATGTACTGAACGGGGTGAGAATAGCTTGAGCTACCTCATCCCTTTGTGTGTATTTTACCTCAATAAACTTATTTCAATTTCAATTTCTTTGTGTGGCTCTGGACGTTTCTCTCCTGTTCTACCATTCTCCCTCCTTCCTATACTCTACCATTCTCCCTTTCACTCTACCTCCCTCTATTTCCCTTTCTACTATTTCCCCTCCTTCCCTCTCATGGTGCCACCCTCCGGTCATTTCAGTCAATATCTGAACTCACAATTATGTAAACTTACGCTAAACTCCTTGACTCGGGTCAGAACATTTCACATCTACAGACTTGGTGAAGTAGTGATAGTGCGGCTGTTCTTGGGGGACACTGACCCCTAGACCCCCCCTCCCCCCTTATGACACTCCTAGTAAAGTCAACATTAATCCTGCCAAGTTTAGTGAGGCCCCCGAGTATTTGGCCTCCAATCTTGGATAAACATACAGACAGACAGACATTCATACAGACGTAGATGTTATTCAAGATATGGACGAATGGCTTTTGTGATTATCGATTCAATCAATTTTCCGACAATATACTTTAAACTAATTGGCCGATAGTTCGACGCAAGTTTTATATCTTCCTTCTTAAAAATCCGTACCACATTAACAACCCTCCACGACTAGGGTTGCCACGACTCTGCTCAACTATATTGATTTATTACATATCTAAGATAAGGGCTCACAAATCCTTTATTTACGTTCCTGGTCATGCACTTCGTCTGGCCATGGGTACTTATTTGGATTTAATTTTTCTATTTGCTTAATAACCTCCTCCCTGGTAACCACTCAACTAGTCACTCTATCCTCTTCACTGTCAACGTAAATTTGTTCATCTGAAGACATACTTAGTCCTCACTATTCTACTTTGAATAGGATACAATAGATATTTATATATACTTTTTCAGCAAGATTTTTACGACTTGAATAAAATAGTTGTTAATAAATTTGTCATAATGACTGTGCTAACTCCTAATGAGTTGTATATTCATATATGTCTAACATGAGTGTGTCCCGTAGCGTGTGTTGCTCCTGGTGGTCGCAGCTGCCCAGGTGTTCTCTACGCCACTGCCAGAGAAATCTCCCGCCTTAGAATTTGGCGGATTCCAGCCAGTACACGGCTCCAGAGCAACAGGTCCTGCTGCAGGGTATGGCGCCCCACCTCTCTCATCAGGGTACAGCGCCCCTCCTCTATCATCTGGGTACGGCGCCCCCGGACCATTCGGTGGAGATGTCGGCGTCGGGCCTGTTAAAACTATCTACGTGAACGTTCCACATCCGGAGCCAGTTAAATCCTTACCTCCTATTGCCGCCGGACCACCCCGCAAGCATTACAAGATTGTTTTTATCCGTGCACCGCCACCACAGCCACCACCACAGCCTATCCTGCCTCCACGGACGGAACAGAAGACCCTGATCTATGTATTACACCAACGGCCTCAAGTACACGAGCAGAAGATAATTAATTTGCCCCAAGTCCAGCACGACCCAGAGGTGTACTTCGTGCAGTATGATAATCCTCCGTCTGCTGAGGAGCTTCAGCAACTTTCCGCAGGTAACTTAGAAGGATATTCCGTAGCCGCACAACGTACAGGACCAACTGGAGACGCAGTCGGTCCTCTCTCTCTTGTCGCCGATGGTGCAGGCAGCCCTGAAATAGACGCCCGATTGGGTCTTGGTGGGGCAGGTAGTGGATTATCTCAAAGTGTTAATGGTGCAGGAGTTTCCTTGAAAGACCTAGGAGGTGCAGGACTAAAGTCTTCACTTGTCTCGTCTCTCTCCGGAGTTGGGGCAAGTGCCACTGGTGTTGCCCTGCCAGGCCTGGGAGGTGTGGGCCACGGATCTGGAGCAGGAATCGGTTCTTTGGGTATTGGTGGTGGGCTGTCGCAGCTCGGCGAGAGCTTGGGGAGCCATTTGGGTTCTAGTGGAGTATTTCGGTCAACTGATGATGTTCTCTTCAGACCGATAGTAGGTTTATCATCAGAAAGAGACTTGGACAATTCCTTTGAGAACCGCGTTGGTGTGTCGGCCGGAGAAGCAGTCGAGGTAACTCCACTCGCCGCTAGGACCTGAGTGCCACTCGTAACCCATTCTCTCTAGTCTCCTACGGTGGGTGGTGATGTCTCCACGACTAAGTCCAACCCCCACACTTTTCCCTGTACTGCTGGTTCTCCCTTTCATAGGTGAACTTAATGAGAGACAGCTAGCAGAAGTTTCAGTCTGTAGGACCCAAGTAGGTTGGGGACATGTGACTAATACAGATCCAACCTGCAGTGGCACCTTCTGATACTGAATTATACTAAGTTATTGTGTTCGTATTATTCTAATTTTATTTTGTATATATTATAAATAAGCCATTATACAAGGTAGACTGTGTACCCACTGGCTGTCTTGTAGGCCATACAAACCACACTCGCCCTCTACAGAATTCATTTAAAAATGTCTATTCTTACATAAGAAATAGTAAATAAACAAGAATAATTTTTTCATGTATTTCTCATTACCTTATCAGTCAACTATTTAACTTATTCAGTTAGCCCCCCTCTTTTCTCATATCCTCCCCCTTGCCCACCACCTCCCTCTATCTACTAACCTCCCTCCACTCATCCACCACTCTCTCTTATCTTCAGCCCTGCCCTCAGATGTACTGTTAAAGTCAAAATATCATTGAAATTCATCATATTTGTTTTCGCGTTGCGGAAACTTTTGCCGGTTGTTCATACCAATGCGGCTTCTTCGTTGTGTGATATTTGTTGTCTTATTGGCAGCCATACAGGATGGCCCTTCTGATGGTAGTGTGTACTTTCTCAGGAACTCAGAAACCTTGTCAACCTCTACGGTCACAGGCTGGCTACCTTACAGTTTAATGGGTATGTTGGCTGTTATCTGGTGGTAGATATTTTTGTATGTGAATGTGTTTATTGTTCTTCTGGTCTAGTGTGATGCTTCTCCTTTGTTCGTTCCTGGATAGAAGGAGAGGAGCGAGAAGCAACACAACTGGACTGGTAGCATCATTCAACCATTTCTGCATTTAGCATTAAGATTGAAAAATAATTGATAATTGTCCATGTAGAAAGGATAATTAAATAAAGAATATCGTTTTGTTTTGTAACATTCTTATTCAGGATCCTGACCCCCTAAAACCTAACTACGGGCTCACCATAGCCCCTGCTGCTTTGGACGTTATGATTCAAACAGCGAATCATAAACAACAACAACAACAACCTAAAACCAATCCTCCAGCTCTTTGGCCTCTTCTTAATACATGACCTCCAGCTCCTGTCTCCCTTTCTACCACATGGCCTCCAGCTCCTGGTTCCCTCTCTACCACCGACAGTCCCCACTCCACCAACATCTCCACTTACAGGATGAAGTGGAACTGCCTCCTTTGCTGTTTTCAGCTTACAGGATGAGCTGAAGGCAGCAGAGGAGGAGTTAAAAAGCCTGAAAGAGATCTCTACTCAGTATCAGACACCAAACATCCCTCAGGAAGCTGGAAATATATCAGTGGAAGGGACTTCCATAGTACAAGCCTCATTCGCATATATGCTTAGAAACAGCCCGAAGCAATGACCACAATAAAGGAAGTGACCATGAAAGCAGTCACTTCTCAGGAAACGGCAAGATGTACTTGTCAGCTGTTGGAGAGGAAAAGGGCAGTAGTCGTGGTAGGTATTAAGAAACAAGAAGGTTCCAGTAAGTTGGGGTAGAGAGATAAGGACAAAGCTGCAATGACAGAGATCATGAATGGTGTACAGATGGAGAGGGCTGAACAAAATATAGAAAAGGTTTTCAGGCTTGGCCAGTACAACAAGGACAGAGATTGGTTGATAAAGGTAGTATTCACGAACAAGAACACAAAAATGAAACTTCTAGCTAGGAAGAGCAGATTATTATATGTAACAGATTTCAAAACGGTATTCCTTCAGAGAGATATGACAAGGGATGAGAAAATTATGGCAGCAGAAGTGCAGGGAGAGAGAAGGGAATCAGGGAACCACAGCCCCATACCCTACAACCCCAGAGGGGAGTGGGGAACCCTCCACAAGCAGTTCAGCATTCCCAGAGAGAAGAACATCGCTCCCACCTTCCACCCAATAGATGTCCTCCCTGCTCCAATCCTTCCCAGCCCCCCACTAAATGCCCACACAGTTTCCCCCTCCCACCAATCCCCCCTCTCCCCAAGTCCTCCCTTCTTCTCTATCCCTTGAATTATGCCCCACCCCAGCATCCTCTGAACCCATGTTAAGTATCGCACAGCTCGTCAACCCCACCCATGCAGCCCAATCCGTGAACTTCCCGCACCAGTGGAACAGCCAACAAGAGTAAGAGTAAGTGAGGATGGACAGATAAAAGTGAGCTTCAAAGTGATATTCACAAATATAAATGAGATTACGAATAAAACAAGTGCACTTGGAGAAAGGACACAAGAAGAAAACCCAGATGAAATAGTACTCAGAGAAACAAACCTCAGGCATAATAACAAATGCAGTGTTTCCACAGGACTACTGTATAGTAAGGAAAGAGAGGGAGGGAAGAGGAGGAGTAGCTCTGCTGATAAAAAAGGAATGGAGTTTCGAAGAAATGGACATCAAAGGCTGTGAAGATTTCAGAGACTACATAGCAGGCACTGTCACGATGGGAGGACCAATGATAATGGCGGTAGTAATTTATATAACCCCTATTAAATGACAGAAGACCCAGACAGGAGTATGACAGGAACAACATGGCAACCATTAATATAATAGAGAGAGCAGCTTCTGTTGACTGCAGGAAGATATCTAAACTGTTAATCATGGGTAACTTCAACCACGGAAAGATAGATAGACTGGGGAAAATAATGAATCACATGGAGGGATAGAAATATGGAGAGCTAAATTATTAGACATGGTGACAAGTAACTTTCTATGCCAACATGTCAAGGGGGCCCACAAGAATGAGGGGAAATGATGAACCAGCAAGACTTGATCTGATATTCACTCTGAATGAGTCAGACATAAAGGAAGTCAAATTAGAACCTCCCATACGAATGATTGACCACAGTGTTCTAACATTTGAGTATCTAGTGGAAGTTGGAATAACCTATCCAAAGAAAGGACTGAAAAGTGAATGGCTGGCATACCGAAGCGGAAACTATGATGAGATTAGAAAATTGTTAATAGAAACACCATGGTAGACAGAGCTGAGAGAAACGTCTGTACAAGGCATGATAGACTACATCAAATAGAAGTGTCAGGAGGCAGAAAACAGGTTTATTCCGGCCCAGAAAGAACAAACGAAAAACAAAAGTGGAATCCATGGTTCAGTGAGGCATGTAAGGATGCAAGGCAACTAAACACTAAGGGCATGGAGAAACTACAGAAATAACAAATTAAGACACCAGAGAGCAAAGGGAGATACCACAGGGCCAGAAATGGGTTCCTCAGTGTGAGGAGAGAAGCAGAGTGGCAGTTTGAAAATCACATAGCAAATAAAGCCAAGACCCTACCAAAACTGCTATACAGCCACATCAGGAGGAAAACAACACTAAAAAAAAAAAACAGGAGATGAAACTGGGAAAGTGAGAGGATGAGAGCTACAGAGCTCTCCCGCCTACGTACAGCACTAGTCAATTTTTCTCTAAGTAGTAAGGGTGATGTTGAATCTCTCATCACCCTTGCACAGAAAGTAGTACTGAGCTGCTCAATTCTTTCACATATGGTTGGGAGTTTCAGCTCCTCCCTCATGTGGATGATTCTTGTACATCTGGGGCTCCAAGAATTATCCGCATGGCTTCATTTTGGATTTTCTCTAAAGCTTTCAGCCTATTGCTAGGGAGACAAATAAGGTGCAGGGCATGGTAGTCGACTAGTGACCTGATGAACATCATGTAGAACAGTCTGGCATATTTGACATGAATACTAAAGTGCTGTCCAGCAAGCGTTTTAAGAGGACTTAGCCTTTCTTTACGCTTAAACTGTAGTTCACTTACAATGTCACTATTAATATTCACACCAAGGTATTTGTATTGCCTGCGGTTTTCAATGCGCTGATCACTGACTTTAAAAACAGGAGGATTATTGATTTTTGGGGGCATAAGGTCCTAATTTTACTTATGGAGACGATAAGTCCACATTCAATACATTTATTTGCAATTGTATCAAGGATAGTCTGCAACAGGTTGCCATTGTTTGCAATGACGCAAATGTCAGATCTTACAATAATTCAGAGAAAATGTATTAATACGTATAGTGGGGTAAACAATATCAAGTGAGGCCTACGAGTGACAATAACGTGGATGAAGAAATAATGACCTAACCACAACTCAGAAGGTGGAGAAGCGACGACGTTACTGTCCGTCCTGGATCATTATCAAGTCGTGTGATAATAGTCCACACTCCACATGACTTGATAATGATCCTGGACGGGCCGAAACGTCGTTACTTCTCCATCTTCTGAGTTGTGGTTTGGTCATCAATATTAAGTGAGCAATAAGGTAACATATTTGAGATGTTCAAGAAAATAACATATGAAATACAATGTAAAGGAGATGCTAGTGATGCTGATTATTATTATGAGGCTAAGAAGAGCAGCAGCAAGATGGAGGAGTGTGTGGTGAGAACAGTTTTCTGTGAGGGTTGAGGCAGGTGGCGGTAGCCGGCAGGTGAGGCGGGTGGAGCATCACACTCTCCCACCCGGGAGTTGCCTCTCCTGCTTCACCCTCCACTCTCCTCCACTCTACACTCAGTAAATACAGCTGAGAGCACTGAAGGAAGGATCACCACTTCACACGTTCCTGTGTTACTTACTGTGAGAGAGACAGCCATGGCAGGGGCACTAATCAAGAAGGGATTTACTCACCTGAAGAGCAAGGAGTTTAGGGACTATTTAATGAGGTAAGGCAACTGCAGTTATCTGGGTTATTTATAGATTGTTCATTACTAAAGGGCTCTTGATTTACTTCAGTTGGCTCGTTCACGGGTCTCATTTTTTGTTCATTTATTTTATATTTTTGGGAGAGGCCTTGGGTAATAGTGGCGCCATAGATTGTGTAACACCTGTCCCTACAGTTGTATATTGATGTTCTTTGTACACACACACTTTTGAGTAAACAATTGCAATTGTATTTGTACATCTTCCATGAATGTAGTCGCATAATAGGCAAATAAGTGGGGGGGAGGGAGGATATAAATGCCTGTCATTCCAAGATAATGGTTGTATATGAGAAAATAACATGCAGCAGGGCATCTACATTAAATTATGGTCAAGCAAGCCTCGGGTCAAGCAAACGGGTTTAAAAAATTTAAGACCTATAAGAATACTATTCCTGTTTGAGTTTTCTAAATGACGTTATTTTAGGGGCCACGTCAGTACAGGTGTGTGTGTCCTGACATTCTTATTCTTATTAATTGCTCCATATGTGGAAAACTCTTAACCTTGCATAAAGGGTCTTAATAAATTCTTGGGTACCCATGGCCCCACCCAAGAATGTGTGTGCCAGACCTCCAAAGTGTACAAAGAACCAAATTTAAGACTATCCATTTGAGGTTGAAGAAATTAACCTATAAAGAAGCAATCAACACAACACCTGGACACTAATTAGAAGAAACAATTAACAATTTACTACAAAAACAAGAAGACTGTTAACTTGCTTATGATGAACTCTCCAGACACCAAGCAAAATGCCTAAGAGACTAATGTTGTTTATGCCTTCACATTCCCACTTGGGGACTGTCAGCCCCAAAGATCTCAGTATATTGGCAAGACAATGTCTCTCTCTCTCTTGGCAATTAACAATGCACAAACAGCAGAGCTCCATCAAAGAACATATAATGTCCACACATAACTTGACCATCACTAGAGATATCTTCACAAGCAACACTGAAATAATTGACAGGTATAACAGCAGAAGACTGGACATCAATGATGTGCTACGTATCAAGAAGTCCAGACCAGCACTCAACAACCAGCTAACACATAATTACATTATATATATAAATTGATATATATGGTACCAAGCTTGAATGGTCCCAAAACCAATATGCAACTGAAAACTCCACACCTTAGAAGGATTCGAACCCAGACAGCCAGGAGCACTACGCACCATGGCGAACCTGGTTCTTTAACCACTAGACCACATGACTACAAAAATGTTTGAAGTCGTGAGACTATTTACCCAACATGTTGGGTAAAAATGGTATTAAATAGCCTCTTAACTCGAAACTCAACCCCTGCAAACACAACTTTGTGAATACAATTTGAATACCCTACAGTGTACAAGAATTTCATTCATGTCTGACATTAAATGTCATAGATTCAATGAAAGTTTATCAGGCATGATTTACCCCGTCTGAATTCCCGATGATCCTCCATTAGACAATTTTTCTTTGTGCTCCACTATTCTTTTCCTGATTACTAAAGCCAGAATTTTGCACTGCTTGTCAATCCCCCTTTCTTGAATATTTTGACTATAGTTGCCTTTTTCCAGATTTCCAGAGCTCTCCAGGCTCTAATTTTATTTTGAATACTCCAGTAAGTGGATAAGTCCCTGCAACCTCCTTCAGTACCCACAGTCATACCTGGTAAATTTTTTATCTTTAAAATAAAGTTAATCATTACTGTACCTTATAGAATTTGTCTTCTAACAAAGCATTTTATTACAGCACACACTTTTGGGGACCAGTTGCAAATTGGGGAATTCCATTAGCGGCCATTGCTGATACTAGAAAACCTCCAGAAATTATTAGTGGAAAAATGACATTGGGTGAGTTGACATAGAATATCCTCAGTCTTATAATAAGAAAAATGTTTCATATTTCTGGTCTTATCAAGACTTAAGAGCAGCAATAGATTGAGTAGTATTTTGTCAATGCTGATCATATCGCCTCTTTTTTCTTCTATCGTCTAGCTTTGGCATATTTGAGGCCTCTCGCCTTAAGACCTTCTAAACTTGTGTGTTTCAACATAAAACTTTAAACGAACTGTGTGTGTGTGTACCCTGTATATTTTTTTTTTTTTTTTTTTTTTTTTTTTTAAGATCAGTGATATCAGCTACCTACTTGCCAATTACTCTGTTCCTAAAGTTTAATTCTTACCCCAACAGCTCTCTGCTTGTACTCTGCAATTTTTATGAGATTTGCCATCAAGGTGCAGCCAAGAAACCTTTTACTCTTCAGCTGCCATTTCACTAATGAAACTGCTCAAATAATACAGGTAGTACAGTAATTTCTTTACAGTAATTTATATTAGTAAATTGGAATGGTTTTCTATTTGTCTTTTCTAAGCTAGCTTCCTTATTTGTTCCTTAATCACGGCACTGTTCTGCATTGAAATGGTACCCCCGTGGTGTGCTGAAAATAAATTATTTCCAACAGGGTCTACCATTTTCCAGGGTCCACCAACCTGTGCAAGTACATTTGTCAGTGTTTTATCACATAGTGGCTGCTCCACCAGAGTAACCACTTTATAAAAGAAGGAGCAGAAACAGACCACTTAACCCTTTCAAATGACACTTGAGGTTACCAGAACAGCCAATTACTGTATCACTTTGCAAACTACCATTACTGTACTGTGGTACCTGTTAAATACATAGGTACACTAGTCTCAATTTATAAAACATTATAGCAGAGGAGACCCGTTAAACTACAGGTAAAGTATACAGTGGTACCTCGGAATACGAGTGTCCCTGTATACAAATTTTTCAGAATACGAGCAGGATTTGCTCGGAAAATTTGCCTCGGAAGGCGAGGGTGTTGATACGTGTACAGGCTGACCTAGTGGTGGTCGGCCTGTATGACCGACAGGCCGGGTGACACAGCGATCGCCCCTCAGTTTACCAGTGCCTTGCACCCAGTGACTATCCCGCCTGAATTCTTCACAAGGATTTTGAGTTTTGTTGGATTTTTGGCCATTTGACCATAAAAGTTATTATATATCTCACCATGGGTCTCAAGAAAGCCAGTGGTAATGATCAGGGCAGGAAAGCGCATGTGAGGATGACAATAGAGGAAAAACAAGAGATCATTCGGAAGCATGAAAATGGTACACATGTTGAACTTTGTAGGCAGTACAACAAAGCCACGTCAATGATATGCACTATACATAGCAAGAAAAAGGACATTGAGTGCTAAAGAGGCAAAAGGTGTAAGAACAATCACGAAACAAAAGACCACAAATAATTGAGGAAGTGGAATTGTTATTAATTTGGATATACAACAAGGAGTTAGTGGGTGATAGTGTTTCAGAGGCCATCATTTGTGAGAAAGCCAGGGTATTGCACGAAGACCTTGTAAAGAAAACCCCTGGAACGAGTGCAGATACAATAGATTTTAAGGCAAGCATGGGATGGTTTGAAAAATTTAGAAAAATTTAGAAAGAATGTGATGCCTCGCTTCAGAGACATCTTGTGAAGAAGGGAAAAACAATCTTCCATGGACAGATTTGTTGAGAAAATAGAGCAGTGAGCCACAACCAGAACCTAGTGGTATGCAGGCAGAACGTGCCAGAGAATGCACCCTAAAGAGGTCCTCGCTCCCTGATGTTATAATGGAAGGGAACTCCCCTTCCAGACAGTAACACCTCTCCTCCTTCCCCCTCCTCACCATCTTCCATACGCCTACAGCAGTCATCAGCAAGGGTTAGTAATAACTTGAACATAGTTTTGTAGGTTTATTTAGATGAATTAGCAATAAAATTTAGCTTGAAGTGAGGTTTTTTGGGTAGTCAGGAACAGATTAGTTAATTTCCCATTATTTCTTATGGGGAAATTATCTTTGGTTTACGAGTTTTCGGAATACGAGCTGTCTCCAGGAACAGATTGAACTCTTAAACCGAGGCACTGGGAGCCGGTCGGCCGAGCGGACAGCACGCTGGACTTGTGATCCTGTGGTCCTGGGCTTGATTCCAGGTGCCGGCGAGAAACAATGGGCAGAGTTTTTCACCCTATGCCCATGTTACCTAGCAGTAAAATAGGTACCTGGGTGTTAGTCAGCTGTCACGGGCTGCTTCCTGGGGGTGGAGGCCTGGTCGAGGACCGGGCCGCGGGGACACTAAAAAAGCCCCGAAATCATCTCGAGATAACCTCAAGATAACCCCTGTACTTAACAAGTGTAGTAGTCAAATAACTAGAAATGATAATTAAAGCTAAATGGGTGGAATATCTTTAAAGACATTTACAAAGAAAGGAACATTAAAGGAAACGTTCTCTTTAGAGGAACTTACTAAGTAACAAATAAGCAGTACTGTTTGACTTATGAACTGGAAGGTCATTTGTAACAAATATAATCAGTTTTATGATTGGACCACAGAAACCCTTTGGGAAAGAGACAGATGGACAGACTGCATGTATCTAGACCTAAAATGACATTCAACAAAGTTCCACATTAGGATTTTCTGGAAGTTGGAACACACAAAAAGGTGATAGGTAGACTACCAGCAAGAATGACAAATTTCCTAATATACAAATATGAGAGCAGTGGTCAGTAATAATGAATCAGATTGAAAGAGCATCACATTGTCGTATGCTTTCTGGTGGGTTTTTTCTTATTTTTTTGGTTGACTTCAGAACCCCAAGCTTCACACGTCTTGTAGATAGAACCAAGTTCTGGTCTTGGGCCCCAGTAGGAAATGGTGTCTCAAAGGCCTGGACCAGCATTTAGCCTTGGGAAGCTACTGTGGGCCTACTGGAAATGTGTTTTTCATTTAATTCAACTCTTGGCTTCTGAGACTTTTCTTAAACCCGCGAGTTTTGTCGTTCATTTTTCTTCTGCATGCCTAACTTAAAACACACTTGAATCATATATAAAACTACTGTAATACTCTCAGAAATTAAATGCATTCTTTATCAGGGTTATTGCCATTTTCCTTAAATTGCCTAGCCATATGCAGTTTTACTTAGACAGTAATAAAGAACATTGTGTACTTAGTCTTATGAGGTGTTATGGTGTAGTATAGATAACTTA